TACCTATTTGAAACCTCAAAGATTATAGGATCTCGCCGGAAAAATTCAAGAAAAACTGGCCAACTTCAAAACTAGCTTTCCCGACGTCCAATTCCACTTAACGAACCACCCCGAACTTCCTAAGGACCTCACTAAGCTTCCTATAATCTTCAAATTCCTTGAAAAATAATATTTCACGTGTGCATGAATAGTGACAAAATTGGAGGTTCCTGGTTCGACGTGAAATCGAAGGATTCCTTACCTGAATTTGATATGGTTAAACTCGTATGATCCTCACGAACACAAAGGTACCATTTTCCACTTCGATCCGTCACATTTGCAAGGGTTTTGAGTCCCGTCCGCACAAGTGAGAAGGAGAGAGAGATAGAGTCTGCGATAAAGAGAGCACATGAGAAGATGATATGGGTGTAGGTGTGTGGTCCTGTAGAGTCAACCCCCTAAAAACAATTAAACAACATCCCAAAATGACAAATACCCACCAAGGGCAAAATCGTTATTTTACACCTATGGTACGAATAATTCGGGACGGGCTTCACAGGTTACCTACATGTCACCTGCATGTAAGGATGTTATTAACGGATTCTTAACGAGTGACCCGATTATTTATCATGTTGACCCGAACCCGTTATTTTCGTGTCGTGTTAACAAATCGTATAAGAAATTGTTAGGTCTAATGACAAGTATACATATCAATTTAAATGGTTAGCATCTATATTCTAAATTGGGTTTAATAAATTGGGTCTAGTAGTCTAAGATAAAAAAAAACTTACATGAATTTAGAAGAAAACTGAATTAGGTGGTGGCACAGTAAGTGGCAGTGGAGATAAGTGGTGGTGACTGGTGGGGTGTGGGATTGAGAAGCTTGTATAACCTGCTGCATGCACATCCATAGAGATAAGGACCTCTCCACCACCACTGCCTAACCCGTCGGAGGGTCCCAAGGGATCGACCACAGGTGCTTCTGTTAGCATCTGGAAGGTCATAAGACCACTCGGGTTCCTGTATGGATTCGTCTCTGCCCGTAACATGGTGATCCCAATTTTCCTTTTTGATAGTCATTTTGCTTAACTAGTCCTGAATTACTCGATAAAACCATGTGCACTTTAGGTTGACCTTAGACCTGGTACTTATCAAGAGTTAAACTCAACTACACAAATGATCATTTCTAACTACCCTTTTTTCGAATTGCTTTCTCAACATTGAAAGTGTTAACTACTTCTTACACATGAATGATGCACAATTGATCTCATGTCATATTTCACATATATCACCAATGAACAACACTCCAGCAACAATTCCACAATCACGACAGATGAATATTTGAATGAAGCAATTGTACACAAAACCAATTATCATCCAATCACAACCAGTCAACCAATATAAAAAATAATATGGCACTTCACAAATTTAATAAAATCAATTTCCGTAAAAGTTTTGGACTTATATAATTCAAAATAGTAGCCAATTAGAATATAAAAAATAAAATAAAATAATTAAATTATTATTAGTAAAAATTATTAAAAAGTAGTAATACAACACTTAATGAAATCAATGTGTATTCAACACATAATAATCATATAATGATTTTTAAAAATATAGATCTTCACAATCTACCCTCTTCAAAAAAAATTTCGTCCTAAAAAATCTGTAAGACGTTACTCACATAAGATAGTAGTTTAAGAAAACTAAGAAACTATCACTTTAGAGTAGTTGCATATAGATTACCCTTCCATTTCAAGTGCATTGCAATTATGTATTGCCTTCCAACTCTAGCATGTCTTCTCTTAATATATATGGAGTATAACAACTTAAAATTAACTAAATAATAAACGAAGAGTTTTTTTTTTGAACAATCGATATTATCTACACTACTGGGGAGGGGAGGGGGGGTAGGCTAGCCTCACAATGAACTAGCAATAATGTGGTTCAAATTTGCCTTTGGCGAGAATTGAACCTAAGACCTCTCATTTATAAGTGAAGATGAATACCACTTGACCGTAGTACTAAGTGGCAAATATTGCATACATGCATTGTTTTAATAATGGTCCAATATTGCCAATTAATACTATAATCTAGTGGTATTCCTCTTCACTTGTATGTGAAATGTCTTAAATTCGATTCATGCAAAGACTTTTGAATCACATTATTGCTAGCCCATCCCCATTGTGAGGCTAAACGCACTCCCTCATTCTTAGTGTAATGGTCCAATATTTGTTTAATGATTCCATGGCATTTAATTTAGTTTAGTCAATTTACTATGGTAAAATTATGTTCCTATTAAGCTGTGGAAGCTCACCTCACTATTATTTTGCAGGTTTACGAATTAGACAATCAAAATGATAGACAGGATAAAATCGGCCTATATGTGAGGCTAAAATTTGTATTTATTTATTTTTATTTTGTAAAGAATTCTTTGATTCTTTTCATAAGAGGAATTTATTCTTCACCCTATATTTTATTTTTTTACGTTTTTATTTTTACATTTTCACCGCCTCAGGTTCGGACCCATGATACGTTGTTGTTGTGCGAGTATCAATGTATCGTCGGCAACACTTGTAACAACCAAATTTGTAACGAGAAAAAAAAAAAAAGGGTAAATGGCCCAAAATGTAGGATTACTTTGCAATTGGTTGCCATGTGACCTTGTGCCCCTTCCATTAAACAATGAAACACACACATGGTCCCCTTGCTCACCTGTTTGTTGGCCTCTAATCAATGTAGTTTGAAAATATTCATATGAAATGACCAAGTACTAAAATGGAATTGGCAATTAGGTTAGAATCTTTTAGCAAGTTAGGTCAGGTGAAAAGAATTCACATTGTTCTTTCTTTCTCAATGTCCAAACCATCTGAATATTCTGTACAAATTTTGTGAATAACGAGTTTGATATTAATTGTATTAACGATCCTTCAACTTTAATCTAACTGGAAAAATGATCCCTCAACTTTAACCCAGTTGGAGCAATAGTCTTTCCAACATAACTCATTTTGATAGAATTCCGATGGAGTTGATGAAGAGGATCATAGCTACACGTTTTGATGAGATGAAAGACCAATGATAATGACTTTTTAGTTGAGATGACCATTGCTCCAATTTGATTAAAATTGAGGGACTATTGCCACAATTTACTTGGTTTTTAACAACAAAGTTTTGATACATAAATGCCGCTAGAAATGCCAGCCTGCTTAGATAGACTAAATATCACTAACAATCTAACACACAACAAAATAAAACCAAGAACTCTCACACATGTTGTTAGATCCCACATTGCTAAGGGGAATGGATCCTGTAAGCCTTATATGTATATTCCCATCTCTACCTAGCACGATGCCTTTTGGGAGTTCACTGGCTTCGGGTTCCATGGAAACTCCGAAGTTAAGCGAGTAGCGCGCGAGAGCACTTCCATGATGGGTGATCCACTGAGAAGTTCTCATGTGAGTTCCCAGAAACAAAACCGTGAAGGCATGGTCGGGGCCCAAAGCGGATAATATCGTGCTACAGCGAAATTGAGCTCGGGATGTGGTTGGGGCTAGGGGCCGGGATGTGACAATTTGGTATCAGAGCCTAACCCTGACCGCGTGTGTGCCGACAAGGACGTTGGGCCCCTAAGGGGGTGGATTGTTAGATCCCACATCGCCTAGGGGAGTGAATTCTCGTGTGAGTTCCCAGAAACAAAACTGTGAGGGCATGGTTGGGGCCTAAAGCGGACAATATCGTGCTGTGACGGAGTCGAGTCCAGGATGTGATGAGGGCCTGGGCCGGGATGTGACACATGTAGAGACCGCATGACAAATTATTATCATATGTAGACGTATACGTAGTCACGTTAGAGTGAATGTGCTCCCTCTTATGCACGACTTTCAATTCATTTTCCCGATTTTATGTTAACTACATTTTGTTTAAATTCAATTGCCGATATTTTTAAAACCCGCGAGGATTCACCTTTACAATTGTTGATGTGTAGACATGGTTGTTGATATGCCGATCGCATCTTAACCTTAAATTTGACACTCCAATAAAATTATTTAAAAAAAAAAATATTATCTACACTAATGTGGTTCACAATGGTTTAGACCTCACAATGGACTAGTAATAATGTGGAGAGGAGAAATGGGTGAGCTTAATCTCACAATGGACTAGTAATAATGTGATTCAAATTCGCATTTGGCGATAACTGATCTTAATACCTCTCACATTCCAATAAAATTGTTAAATGCTACTTTATTTCATCCTTAAATAGATACTAATGTTGTGGCATGTGAAGATGGCAAAGTACTTAATAGTTTAGACTACTGGTAGTTTAGCTTTATACTTATTAGATCAACAAATAAATAATAAATTATTTTCTCAATTTAATTATGACCGTTTATTTTTTGTACTACTAAATAGTTCGGACTGTTGAAGAAAAATTTATGCGATGAGGTAATACTTGTCATGGTTACTTTAAAATTGGAGGATATGGCCGCTTAATACTACAATTTGGTAGTACTTATTTTCACTTGTAAGTAAGATATCTTAGATTCGATTATCACCAAAGAAAAATTTCAAAAATAAATTATTTTTATCCTATTGTAAAGCTAAGCTCCCTTTATTCCTCGTAGTATAAATAATATCGTTGGTGGAAAAAAATTGGAGGATATGAACTTAGATATTGGTTTGGGCCAAAGCATTGCAAACCTGAAAGAAATTCAAGCTGGTATCCAACGACCTCCCATAAATCCAAAATATAGGCCCATTGGGGCTATTGAGCCCTGCCCAACCACCGAATCGAAGAGAAGACAAAACCGAGAAAAATAACGTACGTGCAGGTCCCACACAACATAAAACCCGGATGACGTGTCGACAGACGGGGATTCCGCTGCTGCCAGATAAGCAGGCGCCCTGGTCCAGCTGAGAGGCGCGTGGAGTAAATCCCCAGCGAAGGAATGGCCGACCCGCCTATTGGAGCGTGAAGAGCACGCGCAATGGTTTTTAAGCGACCCGAGAAGCGGAAGAGAAAGTTGGTCTGAAAACTTCGGCCTGCGGACACTGAAAAAGTCTGAAACAGAGAGGCAGGGGTTGTCAGCGACTCAGTGCTCTCTCTGACAACCCGCTTTAAACAAAACAAAGCAAATATATTTGTATACATATAATATATATAAAGATTTCATTCACTCGGTTCATCAAATTTGTGTTGAAAATTTGAGAATCGAGTTAGGAACTGAATTGGGTTTTTGTCTGTGAATCTGTTGAATGTGTTTATGAAGATGGAGGATGGAATTGTGAGGAGAGCGAAAGAGGAGAGAGAAGAGGTGAAACTTGGACTTGGTATTGGGGTTGGTTGTAATTATGGTGGTCAGAACGGGAAGAAGAAGAAGATGAAGTGTGGTGGCGGTGGTGGTGGTGGGTTTACGGCTGCGCAGCTGCATGAGCTGGAGGAACAAGCGCTTATCTATAAGCACTTAGCTGCCGGGGTACCAGTGCCGTTTCAGCTTTTGGTTCCAATATGGAACAGTGTGGCTGCCTCTTTTGGCTCCTCAAATGCTGCTGCTATCTATCAGCACTTCCCCACCTGTAAGTTAAATTCTTGCCTTTTCCTTGATGGGATTTCATTTTTTTTTACTGAATTGTCTATTTTTTTTGTGGTTATTTTGTTTGCTTTGTGGTGGTCGTTATGAGAAATTTGAACTGGGTTCTAATATTTTTGTTTCATTCACTATCGGGAAACTGGCTAAAATGATCGGAAATCAAATCTCAATTGCAATATCGACAACATATCCATTAAATATTGAAAACATAACGATTAAAAGATTGACAGGCTTTTCTGTTAGTTTTACTGCAAAATGTTTTTCCCTCCTTGAAGGTGGTTCTGTGTATTGGAATTCGAATCTATCACTTCATCCACCGATAGGTGTAGCCAGGATTTTCAAATAATGGAGTCATAATATCAACCAAAAAGCTTCATAGGGCCATTTTGTCAAGCACCTAGTAGGCACTTGTCAACATATGCCGGAAGTTTACGCCAACATATGTCGACATCTACTATTGCTTGTAGAGGCTTGTTGAGGGTGGATGTAGGGTACTGTGGAGTAACGTTGAAGACTACCAAGGTTTTTCAACTAAAATATTTCATACAAGAAGAGAGAAAAGGAAGACAAATATGATAAAAGAAAATAGAAGTAGGAAGAGGATGTTGTAATTTAGTTTGCCTTAGCTATTTATAGGGGTCAAAAACACTACACAAACAAATATACATGGGGTTTTTGAAGTTACTGCGGTCAAGGACAATCAATGACCTCATGCTGGCTCCGCCACTGCTGATAGATAATGTGTTTTGTTGACATGGTTTTGTGGTAATGAGTTTAAATATTTTCGATTATTGTCATTTGAAGTATTTGTTTCTGTGAACTTCCCTCCCAAAGATGGTTTTGTTCTGTGTATTACAATTCAAATTTTTTGCTGGGACCAGTAATTCGAGGCATCGCTTCATACATTGACAATGTGAGTTTGTTGACAGGGTTCATGGAATTGAACTTGAAAATAATAAGAACTATGTCATGTGAAATGATTGTTTCTGTGAACTTATATCAATGAATCTGATTTTCGAGAAGGATTTTTCTCAGTTGATTGGTTTTTTTGCTTATTTGGATTGGTTGTTTCAGTTATAGGATTCAATCCTGTGGGGGGCTTTGACTATCGAAGTAAAATGGATCCTGAGCCGGGAAGGTGCAGAAGAACAGATGGAAAGAAATGGAGGTGTAGTAAGAGTGTAGTTCCTGGTCAGAAATACTGTCAGCAACACATGCACAGAGGCTGCCAGCGTTCAAGAAAGCATGTGGAAACTTCTGAAACCTCTTCTCCTTCCAGCGCAAAACAACCCAAGAATTCAGATGCTGAATTCTGCAGTTCAAAGACAAACGTTCAGATTTCCACTCCGAATGGCCTTCATCTTAAGGCCCAATCCTCGGATAATATTGGTGTCAGCCAAGGTACAACCACTGCCTCCAGTGGCTATAAAGAATGTAAGACAAACATCCGATCTGTTACAACTACATCCGTTGCCATGATACCTGCCAATAGAACTGCTACATCCCTTGCTTCTGCAGTCACTATTGCGCATGCTGGACCAACCGCTGCCACCAACAGCAGTAGCAACAAAAATAGCATCAGCATTGGTGTAAAAGACTATAGTAGCAGCCATGCTGGTGACAATTGCATGATCAGAGGAAGCAGCCTCAACAGAAATAGCACCATTGTTGGTAGTACTATATCACCAGGATTGGGCTTCTCCCCAAAGAGCGTTCTTCAGGGTAGACAAATGAGTAAGATCAAACCATTGCGCTAAAACATGTTTTTATTCTCACCTGCTATATATATGTGTGTGCATGTATTAATAAGGATAACTGTTGGTTTTGAGAAACTTTCTACACAACAATGTTTGAGTTTGGTATGGATGTGACTTCTTAACAAAAGAGGCCAACAGTGTGCCAGAATTGAAATCACGTAGGCAAATTATGTCCTGTAAAAAAGATGACAAAATGGTTTTAGTTACTAAAATACTTCTCTAGGTTTTCCTTCTAATCAACTGGAGTATCTGTGTATTTATTTCAGTTTTCAACTGTTTTCAGCTTTTCTAATTTCCAATGGCGTATGCTTCAACAATAGTAGCGGGACAGAGCTTGAACCAAGGAGGTGTAGGAGAACGGATGGAAAGAAGTGGCGCTGCAGAAGGGATGTTCTTCCTGACCAGAAGTATTGTGGTCTGCATGTCCACAGAGGAGCAAAGAGGCAAACGAAAGACTCCCAGCCAATTGGTGTTCCTTCTAGTTCAGCTGCTTCCATGAACACCGCTCAGATCTCTCAGACGATATCCACTACCAAAAAAACTGATCGTGCAATCCCCAATACAAATCTCAGCATGTCCATCCCAGCAAGGCCCCCACCGATGCAAAATGATGAAAAAAGCAATTCCAGCGGCGATAGTGACACAACCATTACAGACACCAGCCTTGCTGCTTACGAGGGTAGTTATGTTTCTTCATAAATAGCTACATTTTCCATCATTCTGAAGTATCCGAAATTTTGAATTCTGTGTTTCTGCCGCAACCAGTATCCTCAGGAAAATATCAACAGAAGAAAAAGGAAGTCTCTCTGTAGGGCATAAGAAATACTGTGTTCTGAGAGGAAAATAGTAATTCAGATTTCGTGGTATCTGATCGTTTTTTCTCCTCCGAAGAAAGATATGAAAGTGTATTTCTTGTTAGTTTTCGGAGACCGCAAATGTGGGTTGATTTGCATGTAATTTGTCCATCGAAAGGTCGACCTTCTCTCTTGTAATCTTGTACAATGTATGCCAAGTCAATGTTGTGTTATGATGTTTCTTAACTTTGTATTAGCATATAGATGAGCAGCCTGCCAACTTAGATAAACATGCTTTCAAGTGCCATTGAAACATCAAAAAACCACTTTTTGTTAAAGGGCTTTTATCATAAACACTTCGAAATTTTATGAAACGCTTATGATAGTGTTTGACAGATAAAGTTAAAAAGGGGTTTTGGGAAGTTGCAAGGAAAGTACTTGGATTTTCGTTAAAATTTTTTATGCGTTCTAATGAAAGCGCTGAAATGCTTATGATAGTGTTTGACAGAAAAAGTTAAAAGGGTTTCTGGGTAGTTACAAGGAAAGTACTTGGATTTTTGTTAAAATTTTTGATGTGTTCTAATGAAGGCGCTTCTTGTAAAAGTTGTTTCTTGAGAAGCATTTCCAAACGATCCTAATTATTCTGCTTGCATGAAAGTGGTGGAAACGTGGAAGGAAGATATCGGGCAGCTTTACAATGAAACGATTCAAAATGGAGGGGACCCTAATACTTCCTTGCTCAACTCCAGGAGTAAAATTTTCCCAACTGAGTAATTTTTCGGTGTACCCGGTACACCAAAAAAATTTGGTGTACCTTCACTCATAATGGTGAGGGTACACCAAAAAAATTTGGTGCACCCTCACTTTTTGTACACCAAAAAAATTCTAATGAGTGAGGGTACACCAAAAAAATTAGGTGTACCCGGTACACCTAAAAATTTTCCCAACTCCAGAAGCAGACACATTCAAGCTCATAGTTGTTTATGGCAAACCCTACCTGCTAAGACTAATCAACTCCGCCGAGCAACAGATTCTGTTTTTTGCCATTGCCAATCACGTCGTCACAGTTGTGGGCTGAGCTGCTAGCTGCACCAAGCCATTTTCAACAGATTATGTGACCATATCTCCCGGCCAAACCATTGGCCTCTTGTTATATGCCGACCAGAGGCCCGAACAACAACTTCATGATTGCTGAAGCCTACGTTGGTGGTGCTGGAAAGCCTATGACAACACAACCATCGCCGCCATACTCCAATACAATGGAAGTTCTAACTCCGCCCTTACTTCCTTCCCGTAACAACACTAACACATCGGTTCACTTTACTAGTAAACTCAAGATACAAGCACCCCGTTGACGTGCTGCTCAAGATATCAACCTTTTTTTTTTTTTTTTACACTCTCCATCAACTCACTACCCTACCCGAATAATTCATGTTCCAGGCCTACTGGGACGCTTCTTGCCGCCAGTGTCAACAAAACTATCTTTGTCAACCTCAGCATTGACGTACTGCAAGCTTATTTCTACCATGTCAATGGGGGCAATGGAACTGGCTGTCCAAAATTCCCGCCCTTGCTGTTTTATTTTACAGCTCAGGACTTGCCGTTGAACCTACAGACACGGAAGCAGGAGACGGAGGTGAGATATTCAACGGTGGAGATTGTGTTTCAGGGGACAAATTTGGTGGCAGGGGTCCGGGGATGATCATCCAATGCAAGGACAAGGACCCTTTGACATGTAATCTTGTTGATCCTCCTCTTCAGAACACTTTCGCTGTCGGTGTAAATGGTTGGACTACCATTAGATTCAAGGTAGACAATCCAGGTAAGTAATTAAGACGTTCATCTTCCTCTAGTAACTATATGAATTAAGAGGTCGTAGATGATCATTTCAGATTTTAGTTTCCGTTTTCACGTTAAAAATCAAACGGTTATCAAACAATGGAGCTACGATAAGCCGAGAGGGAGCTGGGATTGGCGTCGGCCTCTGATAATGCTGCAGCCAGTGGTAGCATGAACAATGGAGCTACGATAAGCCGAGACGGAGAGACGTTTTTCATCAGGTTAATGCTTGTTTCTTCCTTTCGCGCGGTATTGAATCTTTCGCTTTTGCATTCGGAGGTCAACCGTTAGGTTCGGTATGCACATATCTCATTCTTTGCGAAGAAGGTATCTTCATTATATGAATTCTGTAATTGGGACGGTTCAACTTTTTAATCTTCATTTGAAGATTATTAGACAAAAAAAATATATCATTTTAATTGGAGATCGTTTAGTTATCTAAATGCATCAGATCAATTCATGAATGTTAATTGATACTCACACTGTCGATTTGTTATGTACATTTGGATGACTAAACAATCTCTGATTAAAATAATATTTTATAAGAATGATCTTTAAATGAAAATTAAAAATTGAATCGTTTCGATTATAAAATTATACGTTATTCGCAAATAATGAGACATGTGCATTGTCTCACGGAAGAATACAAGTGTTATCATTTTTTTTAATTTGAGCAATATTCTTCACTGAATTAGTCTAAACTGGTGGGATTATTCACAGCGCGCGCACACATACATACATATATGTTATGCTTAAAAATTTAAAATTGGGAACCAAACAAAAGTCCAGATATTTGATGATCAAGAGAGGCTTTCAAAATTCAAGTGAGGGGTCATGAGAAATGGGACAATGCAACATAAATACACAGGAGAGAGGTCACTCAGAAATTGTTGTGCGGGTGGTTGCTAAAATAGTAACAAACAGTATTTCTTTAAAATCCTCTACATCCTTATAATCACGATTCACGAGTCGTGACCAACACCTCAAACGCAAAAGTAAATGCTTTTTACCACATGAGCGATAATCCTCTTACAAAATCGTCGTTTCGCTTATTTATTAATTAGTTCAACAACTAATGCAATCTGTAATTTACACAAACCAGAACAGTCACAAAACCTTTAGATATATGTCTACTATTTACTGGGAACAGTGAGAACTGAGAAGTATATTAAAGCATACTCAGCCAGCAACTGATGTGATCAATGTTTACAAGATACAAGACTTCCTTAGCATATATTAGAGAAATATATCGCCTCTTGTCCGATGAGATTCTGACCGAAATTTACAAAATTCAGCTGCGCTCACATCCATGGTTAGAGCATGACGAAAGCAAGAAACGCAAGCTATTTGCAAATGCCGGAGGGATCTGCGTTCTTGATTATCCAAGGGTGTTCCATGATCTTATGAAGAGACAGCCTCTTTGAGGAGTCCTTGACGAGAAGCTGCAAAGAGGTCGACTTATTTCAGGAAGGAAGGCAATGGACGGATACTGATACCGAAAACTACTGCTAGAGGTTTATATTTACGCCCACCTATCACTAAGAACATAACCATCGAAAAACTTACCCTGGTAATGAGATGTTTAGCCTCCGCGGAAACTTGAGGTTCAGCTGGGAAGCTTAGGTCAACCTTCATTATCCTGCATCCAATATGAACTTGTTATCCAATTATGTTTCGGTTCATGTCAGGAAACCACATTGATTGAGGAAGACAGAAAACTTATTGATACCTTTTGAATGTATCCTTTTGACTTTCGGCCTCAAAGGGAGGAATACCAAAGAGGAACTCATAGCAAAGAACGCCTAAAGTCCAGTTATCAACAGCATAATCATGAGCTTTGTTCTCCACCATTTCTGGTGCTAAATAATCTAGAGTTCCACACATGGTATGCCTCTTGCTTCTTGACTGTACAGACCATCCAAAGTCTGCAATTTTCAATCGACCCTACAAGAATAATTTCATAATCAATTCATCAAAATACGTCCTCAGCTTGTTCAAAGATAACGACCCCAGAAAAGAATTCACATAGCTGTGCAATTTGGAATCACTACCAGGCACGGTGTTGTTCAAAAACCGAAAGGGACAAACAATGACAGCAATAAGAAGCCCCTGTATGGACTGGAAAACCAACCTTGGTTTCAGATTCTCCTAAAATTGCATAAGGAAAATCACATCTACTAAAGCTAACCCCGAAACCAAAATTACTGACCTGCTTTAATGGCATTAGAAGTATTGGTCTTAAAAGATGTAAAGGCTCTATAAAATTGAAAGAAAATCATACAAATACAGAATAATTGAAGATGTTCCTATTGTCACTAATTGGAAACCAAAAACGAAATTTCTGTTAGGAATGTCGGTACTACAAGATAGAGAATGCACAAAGTATAGTAGAAAATGGACATCAAGAATTTATTTTGTTCGGCAATTTATGCCTACGTCCACGAAACAAGGATCAATACAACAAGAGTAGTCTTACCAAGCCAAAGACAAGGCTTGATGGATACACGAAAGTATAACACACACAGACACACTTTCTATCACTCTAAACTTCACTCACACAATGTGTAGTGGAACACTCTCACTCTAACTCTTGGAGTGGAACTCTAGCTTTGGACTTGATCCTTTTCTACTCTCTTCTTTCTTGATTGGTTATTTCTACTAGTTTCTAGTTTCTAGTATATTCTACAAATCTCTAGCTTAGAAAATTCTTGACTAGCCATCCTACTTTACATGCTAGAATTTTCTAGAATACGCATGCACCACCAGACTTAAACTTTGCTAGAAGTAACTAGCACATGCATGCTCTTTCATGGGAACCGACTTAACACATGCTAGAATTGTCTAGCATGCTCCAGTCACCTCACTTGCTTTCTAGAATAATCAAGAACATTCATCATGGGCTGGACCATATACCAACAATTTCAACACAGAAAAAGTGAAATTGTAGTCATTGTTACAATGTGGAACTAGAATATGTACAACATTAATTGACTGATGAGCGTTGTGGGATAAATTTTGGGCAGAAATAAAAGATTAAGAGCCACATTTCTCATCTCTATTTCCAACTTCTAAGATGATCCAGATACTGAAAACCGGAACAAAACAAGAATGGCAGATTTATGGTAGGGAGAAGAAGTAGCAAAACATTCATACCTCATGATCCAATAGCAAATTTTCAGGCTTGATGTCCCTATGAATCACATGCTTTTCGTGACAATACGCCAACGCTTCAGTCAAGCTCAAAATATACTAAACAATCACACGAAACCCCATTAATTTCCAAACCACACACACCAGAGAGAGAATTTAAGAGAGAGAGAGAGAGAGAGACGGGGATACATACAGTGGCGGCCTGTTTCTCCGAAAGGTAGGTAGTTTTCCTGAGAAGTCCGTAGAGCTCTC